ATTTTTAATGGCTGCCAAATAGTAACACGATATTCCTAACCCCGTTGTTGGGTATTTAAGTCATTTTCAATGTTTGTCTATTACAAAGAAATCTGCAGTGAACATTCTTGTAGCTAAATATTTATGGTGCTGTAGTTGGTAAATAATAATGTTGTTACATTAAACATATACACAGTTATAAATTAACCTTTATTATAATTTTGGATAAAAATCTACTTAAGTACATTGAATAAAGTCATTTTATAGAAAAACAGAAAAACTAAGCAGCTCTCAAGGCAGTCAACACTTAGGGAGAACCATTTGCACTACATAAAAGCAAATGGATTATTTCTCTACAGAGCCGATTCCACACAGATCTCCCTCCATAGCTCAATAATGTTATTTTGGAATGTGTGTTTGCTCGCTCTCTCTCTCAGCATGTACTCCCTGTCTGTATAGCTTAAGAGGAATCATTCATAAATGATCTGTGCTCACACAGTTTGTGAGAATCCCAGCAGTGGGCCTGCTTATGAAGTGAGTGTACAATGTGGCCCTTTGCGTCAGGCCTGGGGAGAGGGCTTATTTCCTAGCTGCCATCTAGTTGTTGGCTTTCTTTTCTTTCTTTAGGCCCTGACCCACGTATCAGAGGACTGTTTCCCTTTGCTGGATGGCTGCAGAAAGAACAGGCAAAAATGGCAGGCTCTTGCAGAACAGCAGGAGAAGACATTGATTAATGGGGAAAGCAGCCAGGCCAAGCGGAACTGAGTGGCCTATTCATGCAGAGTTGAAGTTTACAGATGGCGTATTCTGCAGTATGCCTAGTTTTGCTATACACTGTACAGATTTGGTGTATACTTTGCCACTGCTGTATTTTTATTTTTGCACAACTTTTGACAACACAGCATGAAATGTTTTTAGAGGACTATTGCATATTTTCTGTATATTTGTTTTATGCCACTGAACTGAGATTATCAGTGACACCTACTCTTAGCACATGGATAAGAGCCCTGTTTGTGATATTTTGTGTACTGCGAGGTACAAGTTGCATTCTTGCACTGAGGCTGGTTTTTTTGGGGTTTTTTGTTTTTTCTTGCTGGGGATTTTAAATAATTGGTTTTGTGTTTTCTGAATTACCAATCTTTCAAGAATGTTTGGAATCGTTTTTCTTAAAAACAGGCTAGGAGCAAAGTGAATATATTCTGTGACAGTTAAAACCTTCATAGACTAGAGAAAAATATTGGCTGAGTGGTTTTTAAGAGGAATGGGGTATATTTGTCAACACTGTATTACCTTAACAAAAAAAGTTAAAACTCTAAACAAATGGAAAGTACTATAAGGTAGTACTGTAAAGAAAAGGCATTATTTAATTATTTTGCTTTTTTTGTTGTTAGAGAACAGGCAGGAGAGAAATTTCTCATTTCAATGCAATAAATCTATCCAAAGGCTACCCATAAACTCGCTTTGATCTAACCTACCTGATGGAAAGCAGGGGAAACCTTGGGAGAAGATCCAGTCACTGACTTTGAGGGATGAGTGTGATGCAGAAATGGAACAGCCGAGGATGGCTGCCAGTGAAGAGAACGTTCTGCTGGAAGACACTTCTGACAGTCAGTGAGTGTTTTGAATACTGAACTTCCTTTTTTAAATAAATTCCTTATCATTCACCTTATAAGCCATAGCTTGTAAGTCAACACTTTAAAACTCAACAGGAGAGCGAGAAAAAGTGATCATGGGAGCATTAGCCTGAAGTGAGAGATGACTGTATAAGATAAGAGGGTACAAACTGAATCATATTTTTTTGTTTGTTAAATGGAGTACAGAGAAAAGTACAAACAGCAAAGGGCTATCCTTGATATTAGGGTCAAAAATTAAATCGACGGAACAATATGGTAAGAAACCTTAAGCTTGAGTAAACTTAGCAGTATTGAGTTTGTGACTGAGAAACTGCCATATCTTGGTTTACAGGACTAGTCAACCCAGAATCACAGAAGTTTGGGTATGCACCCTAAACACTGGCCCTGAGCTTGTAGTTAGTGGTATCTACTTCTCACAGCTTTTAGTACATTTAGAAAATGTTAACATTTTCTTAGAATTTGAGCCCATTTAATTGTATTCCCACTGTACATGTGTGCCCCTAAAGACACTTTTATTACATATTGGAGAAGTAGATAATGGACTGAGAACCTAGTTCAGGAAAAGAAAATCTGCTCTAAATATGCAATAATGTTTGTGGGCAAGAGTAGGAAGAGAGGTATTTGTTTGATCTGTTCACCCCCCTCCCCACCCCTGAATAAAGTTTCTGAGTTTCTATAACTAGTTTGTATAGAAAAGCTCTTGGGGATATGATAATGCAGCATTCTCAAAGACTTTTCATTAAAACATGTTTTCCATAACCATTTGTTCCCTAAACTACCTAAAATTCAACATATTCGTTAAGTTTTAAAAATTCTGAGTGTGTATACGTATCTTGACATAAAGTGGCTTTATTCTTACCCTTCAGGTTTTAAAAAGAAAGCAAAACAAATTGTATTGCCATTACTTTGTAGCGGTAAGGGCTATGTATTACTGTTGTGACACCTGTATTTTCAAGATGTTATTCTGTTTTATGTAATATACATGAGATCTGTGAGGTTGCCTCTTGGTGGCACTGGTGTGTAACTTACAAAGACTGTCACTAAAATAATGTATCTACATACTGGTATACACCTATGCATGCAGACACAATTCCTTAGTACAGAAAAATTGTCTGAAGAATAGCAGTCTTTAATAACCTATCTTTTTGCCGTACACATTGTGATTTAGCAGTTATGCTAAAATCTGTAGTCAAATACTTTAGTAGTTTGTTTAGAGCCCTCTAATATATGTCACTGAGATTTTTAAAGACACAGTAGACTGTGCGGAGGATTTGTATGTGTGTCATTTTAAAAAGCAAGAAGGTGTATTTGGATTATAAATTTTTGGTTTACTTTTAGATAATGGCTTATTTTACCTTACTAGTTTAGAAACTGAAAGAAGTGGGGCAGTGACATACCTATTTCATTTGGGGGTATTTTAGTTCATACAGAAGAAGAGTGCTTCTTTAGGACTGGTTACTTGGTTCAAATAATTCTTAATTTTTTAGGAAAATCACTCCATACATGGATTATTACCTGGTACATGGGCATAAATTTTCTTCTTATATGGATATTTCCTTTCCAGTATCTTCTCAAGTTGGAAAAAATATATATATGTAGTCTTCTCTCACCCTACCCTATATTTATATTACCTGTAATCTAGCAAGAAGTTGTTTTTGCTCTAGATTAGTTTGTTTGTTTTCATTATAGCTGAGTACCATGATACCATTTCATTTCAATTTTCAGCCCCAAAAGTTCCCACTATTTTACTAAGTTGTGAGAAGATGTCTATAAAATTGCCTGGTCTTGTACTTTTCACAGGATTGGCCTTTGCCAGCCACAATCCTGTGTGAACTTGTGTAAGTCTCTTTAACCTCTGTGAGTGTGAACAAGTTGTGCTGTTGAAGGAGTTATGTTTGGGCTAAGCCTTGTCTCAGAGGAGGATGTCACAGAAGGCAGCTACTGTGTAAGCCCTAATGGGCCCTGGAGACCACTGTCAGAAATGGGATAGCAGACCAAAGAGCAAGGTATCTAATCCCTTAAGTCATTTCCTGTGTTGAGTTTCCAAGACTGAGAAAAAGATAGTACATTTCTTTGGCTTCTCATGCAGATCACTAGATGTGTGAGATTTAGAGCTGTTTGAGCACCTCATCTCACGGTACAAACCCTGGACGATGATGTTTCACCACTGATCTCTTTACTATGAAGAATGGTTTCCTTCCATAGGAGTGTCGGAGAAAAGAAAATGTATGAAAGTGTACTGGAAATAATGGATTGTGGGAGGAAACCGGTTACAGATATATTCTTGCCTAGCAGTGAAGTGCCTTTATTTTCAGCACAGAGCACAAATGTTAGACCTACTCCAATCTGATGTTCAATTTTCCTGTGTTTTCCACCTGATTGTACTCCTCAAGCTTTACAGGCCATCAAAAGAAATGCTGTTTGTTTTGTTTTACAAGATTGATTTAAGAAGGTGGGGTGGGGGGAGGGATGTAACTGCTCTCCTCTCCTGGGAACAACTACAGTTAAAACAAGGTGGTATAATGTAACTGCTCAGTGTTAGACATGCCTCGATCCACCTTTTATTGAGTTCCTGCTGCATGTCAGGCACTGTGCTCCACTGGGGAGAGAGAGCAGTGACCTCAAGGAGCTCACAGTCTCTGCAGGGAGTGCTGGATAAGAGACTTACCAGCTTCTGATCCTGCCGATTTAACGTGAAAATATAGGGGACAGTTATCACTTTCATTTCCATCTATAACATATGTATTACTTAGTTTTCCAAGGACCTTCTTTACCTGGAACTTATTAAGAATCTGTCAGTCAGTGAACATCTTGTCTTCTTGCAAGCATGAATCACTTAGCCTGCTGATAGCTTAGAGAACACCTTATGTAAGTAAGGAGTCATGTATTCCACTATGTAGATTATTTTTCCATATGCTAGCCAGGGAGAGATTACTCAAGAGTTCTCTTAGACTGTTAAATTGCACACCGTTTTGGACCCCTTCTGCTCCAGCGTAGGGAGTGAGGAAGAAAGTATTAAAGCTCACTTTGCCCTTCCATATGCTTCTCAAAAGTCTGTGTAAACATATCTTAATAGATGTTAAACACCATGTAAATAGATGAAAATATAAATTTCTATTTCAGTTTAAGAAAAAGCTTATGAATCATCACTAGCCACTGTTAATATCTATTTGTATTCTTACACCTTTTCAATACATTTGAACAAATATATAGTTTCTGGCACTATTTTTGTACTAGGATAAAGGAGTTACTATGTATATTATGTTTAGCTTTTAAGTCATTTTTAAATAATTGTGAATGTTGATTTCTTGTCTTTCCTCTCCCCCCACCATGAGAACCATTTCATGTGACTCTCCTATGACAAAATCACTTTAAAGGAACACTTACCCACCTACGATCCCTGTAAAGTCAAGAGACGGTCAGGGTGGTTCTCCACTGCGCAAACTCTTCGCTTGTCAGTTGCCTCCTCATTTTGCCATGCTTTGTAAGAATAAAAAGAAGAGTGAACAAGCAGGTATGAGTGTTGTGTGATTATTAGGGACTCTGAATTTTAGGCAGGGAGAATGGGCCCAATAGTTTGAGAGACTTTAATCAAGCTAACCTGTGGTCCTGTTAGCTGAAAAAGATGTGGCTTAATAAACTCCTTTCTTTCCTCAGCCTAGACACCTCAGTAATAGTCTTCTTGTTAATATTCTTTGCTACCAGCTTGAGGGCAACATTTTCCATACACCTCACCACTTCTCAAGTCCCTAACAATTCTATACAGGGTGATGATTGTTACCATCCTCAGGTTGCGTGCGGAGCTAAGGCTTAGGAATTAAATACTTGCCAAATGGCATGAGCTGCATTCGATCCCACATCTGTCTAGTTTGAAAGCAGGTATTTATTCCACTTAATTCTCTTTTTGAATTTTAATAGTAAAAGGTCCCAAATCCACTCTTAGTGGATCAAATGGGCTACCTAGAAGCATTAGGTACAAGATTTCCCACACCTAGCAGATCTGGTTTTGTTCGGGATTTTAGAGTTGTTATCGTTCCTTTAGTTCATCTAGTAATAGCTAATGCCGTGCCATCACAGGATCCCAGGGACCACCGTGCTTCAGTGCTGCTAGTCTAGAGGCATGGAGGTATAATTATATGCAAGATTTCTGACTCGTTATTTACTTTTGCCACTAGACAAGCCCTCTTCACGTGGAGCAGAATATCTAGGCTATGCCTAAATCACAAAGCTAAACGCAAAAGTAAAATGAAAGCTCATGTAAAGCAATATTTTAGATCTTCTGATCACTAGAGTGCGCCAGTTTCAGCTGTATTTAAAGAAGTAATCTTACTGGGTACAAACAATGAATAAAACTGCTTTTTTAAAGATTTTTACCAGCTAAAGAAAAACAAATGGAAAAAATCAATGGGGAATTAAGATTTGCTTACTTTCCTTTGTCCAGGATCATTTCTTTAAGATTTTCCCCAAACAATAACTGATCACCTGAAGTCTCTCTGATTGATACTCAATATTCCATCCACAGAGACATCATCCCTTCTTGTAGAAAAGGGAGGCATTTGACAACTCTCTTGAACCCACATTCTTGCTATCCGCCGTGCTGCCTTCTCAGCAAACAGGGATATATTTGATATATGCAAATGTCAGTATATAATTTTCTGTTTTTTTAAGGCATATAACAAATTAACAGAAACACTTTGAACCTGCAGAGAATATTCCTTGATTTTAAGCTATATTCAGCCTTGGCAGGAGAAAGACTCTATGTTTCTAACTTACAACCCATTTTTTCAAATTAACATCCACAAGAATTATGAATGGAATCAAAATAATTATTTGAATCAAAAGAAATCTAATTAAATGGCATGTTTGCCTCATTTTAAGTGTACGTATGAGCGTGCGTGTGCGTGTATGTGTGTGGTGTGTAAATATTCAGGAACTGAGTTGACTCAGTCATATCTCACAGAATCCCAATGGCACATTTTAGGATTCATCTTTCTAAGTGAATTTAAGGGACAAGATTGCATGGCTAAGGGGGAGAAAAAAGGAATGAACATGAACTATCACAATAGCTTTAAACGTTAATATCCCCTATATTACTTTTAGAGCCATATTTCACTTCATATCACTGTTTCCCCTACCCAACAGGAGTGTTTTTTAGGCTTTATATGACGCCAATCCAGCATATATTCCTCTAAGACACTAACTTCCCCCCTTACCAACCAGCTCTCTGAAAGTCACGAATTCCCTGATCTCGCTGATGCACCCTGACCAAGGAGAAAAAGCATAAAACATGCTCAACAACTACCTCGGCTACAGCTGCTCTCTCTCCAGAAAAGCCAACAGAAGTAGTTACTAAGGGTGCTCTACCAAGTCTGTTAGAATGAGTAATGCACTTGGAGGAGTGTATGAAGGCAGGACCATGTCCTATCATTATTTCCTCTGTTTGTTAAACCTCTGCTTCTCTTTTTCTGTTCTGGCTCCATTCATAAGGGCTTCAAACATACTTGATTCTCCCCTGCCCTAAGAACACCTACCTGAATCACACAGTCCTCCCACCAGCATCTCTGTACTCTGTCTTGTACTTTGAAGGTACTCAACAAACTCTGAAAGACTAGACTTCTCTCCTTTCCCATTTGACATAAAATTGAACTTTTTATAAAGAAAGGAGAAGGTAATTCCAATGAAGGACAACAGAAAACTCAATACAGCATTTTTAGAAATTCTCAGTTGGAAAAGAGCTGAATTTTAAGATGAAAAAAAAAACTGAATAAAAAAATTTGGGGTAAGAATATTTGTTTTCTATTGTGAAAAATTAGTTACCAGGCTTTAATTCATAAATTGATAACCATTGGTGGAGTTACTCCCAGGGAGTTTTACCATATTGCTAGGAGCCAAGGAAAATTCACAAAGGCTAGAGGCCAATGATCTTGCGGAAAAGACAAGATTTACATTTAAAAATAAAAATAAGCAAACAGAAGTCAACAGAACACGTTCATTCATTCATAAATACTTGATTCTCTCCTGAGTGTCAGGCTGGGGTAAACTAATAGGCATGGTCTCACAAAGCATCTAGTCCAGAGGAGGCTACACACCAGGGCAAAGAGACAGCCATGTCTATGCACTGAGGATGGGAGTGGAGGGTTTACAGATGGTTCTTTAAGTGTGTGACAACTGGTTTATAGCTAAGTGAAAAGGAAGAAGAGTATTCCTAGGCAGAAGAAAACATGTGAAGACCTAGAAGTAGCAAACTTGAGAACTTGAAAGCCTTCTCACAATTTATTTAAATAATTATAAATTTTATATTTTTAAATGATAAGGGTTAAAAATATATTTACAAATATTATGAATACTTATGAATGTTATATAAAATAAAGCAAATGTCATTTTTTTTTAAATTGAAGTATAGTTGATTTACAATATTATGTTAGTTTCAGGTGTACAACATGATGATTCAGTATTTTTATATATTATACTCCAGGTAATGGCCTTTAAATGTATATTTGAGCTTTTAAGAAAATAAGAGAAATCCCCACAGGCCAAAATAAAGCAAATTAAAAATCCAATCAGCAAGCATGTGAGCTGATACTATGTCAGGCCTGGGAATATTTGCAGATCTATATAATGAAGGGGTTTTAAATCAGACCAGGAAACATGGTCTTGAGATCCAGTGAAGCACTTGGGGAATGGCCCTCCAAGAAAGACTGAAAACTCTGAAAGCTGTGCTCTCAACGTGTAGAAAGGGGAGGGGGGAAGATTCACTCAGAGACACAGGACAACTGAAGGAAGCATGCCTGTCTTAATCTGAGCTCTGGTTTAAAAAAAAAAATTGTAACATTGAGTCCATCCTCACATTAACACAGATTTGGGGTTTGAGTGTGATGCAGGACTACCCAAGTTATTGATAAATAGCAGAAAAAGAAGTCTCAGGCAGGTTATATCCCTGAACAACTGGCAAAAGCAAAGGCAAAATGTCTTTGGAAGAACACAGCCTCAAATAGGCCCATGAAATTTCCACAGAAATAATGCCACTAGAGAAAAATTCATAATTGCAAAACACATGAGGAAACAATTCACAGTGTACAAAGTCAGAAGCCACAAGACTGTACGATCAGATACCCAAGAAATTCAGGCAACAGAACTCTTTGATAGAGGTGGTTGGGAGGAATCATTGACTCCTCACTCTTGTGTTTCCAAATGAAGGGAGACCCCTAAAATGGCACTCTTGGTCTCCTGTTCCACCCTTAACCCAGTCAGATATGTGATTGGAGGGTGACAGCCATCAGTCCACAGTCCTAAAACGGGTGTGATTAATCTAATAAAAACAGTAACACTGGGGATTTGTTTCTTTCTACCCTGATCCAGTGCAAGTTGAAAATCCTAGGTAAGTGTGTTCAGTATGTGCGCTGTCCCAAGGTATAGCCTACAGAGGGGTGGGGGTCAAGGCAGGGAGTGTCAGTAAACCCATCTGACCACAGCATGCTCTCCAAAGGAACTTATTTACAGGACCACCTCCACAAAGCTCCATACAAGCCAGTGTCGCCATGGTTTTCTTGGAGTGCTATGCCTACCTCCTGTTAGGGTTTAGAGACTTGCTCATACCAATGGGTCTTTTCAATCAATGTCCTCTCCTGTGTCTGATAAATGTGGTAAATCAGCGCTTTCCTGGGTCTGCTTGTAAGCTGTGCCCTTTGAGAGCACAGAGAATGTGCAAATAAGAACATCTTCCTCCTCTCTCCTTCCTGCTGGTGGCTGTATAGAAGGCAGGAGTGAAGTCAACACTGAAAGAGATCCCATTTTAGGAATGCAGTGGATTCACTAAAGAATTCAAGAGAAGCATAGTTGGAAGATATGTTGTTCTATTTTATATTAGAAAATTCTGAAAAGTAAATTTCACACGACCAGAACTTATCATTCACATTTTTTTCCTGCCTATCCTGTTTAAGAGTTGCATCTGTGATAATCAGCACTGAAGCACACGAACAAACTTTGAGTCATCGGAAGCGAGTATTCACAGGCAGCACAATGAATGAGGCAGCGTCATGAGTAATCATATAACCAATATAAATAAATGGTATTAGGGAACTGCAGAGGCAAGAAGATCTACATTATTTTTGTACAAACTGGTTTTAAAGACCACAGCATTGTGAGTATAACAGTCACTATTTTCTTCTGTCAGTGGGAGTTATGAAGTTAGAGACAACACATGTGACAGTAAAGAATACAAGCAGGTGGTTCCTGAAATTGAACACTATCAACATGAATTGATTTTTACACGGTAATGAAATATGTACATATCTCTTCTGTATTCAATTTCCTAAATTTTCATTGAAAAAAACATGATATTAGTTTCCTACTGCTGGTGTAGCAAATTACCACAAATGTACTGACTTAACACAAATTTATTATCTTATAATTCAGGCGATCAAAAGTCTAAAATGTGTCAGCAAGGCTACATTCCATCTAGAGGCCATTTCCTTGCCTTT